TTTAGCAAGAACAGAACCACTGTAAAATCTTAGGTGGTAACATTTTCAGATTTTATTTTATCTTTATTTCAAATTGGAGAAAAAGAAACAAAACAGCATGTATGAATATCCAGAGAGATGTACCAAAACCTTATTTCATGGTATGTAATAAGTAGCATGGAATCAGCTGTCATAGTTAAAAGATACCCATGATGTAGCTGTTCCATTAAAAGTTGGACTAAAATCATGTTTAAATTTCATTTCCTTCAGTCCTTATCCTGCTTTTGATTAGTTTTAAGAGCAGTTGATGGTCTTATGATTTGAAGATTTTGCATTTTAAATTCTGTGTACATGGTTTGGAATTTTATGTGAAATTGTGTGTTTGATCTTTGACCTCTGTTTACTACAGTCCTGATTTGCCACTAATTTGATAGCAAGACATAAGGGCCTACTGTAAACAAGCCGCTCACTTTACATAGCTATGTTTGGCTCCTAAATGAAGAAGTATGTATGGAATATACTTTTGGGTACTGTAGTCTCCTAAAGAAATAATAAAAACCACATCACTGCTTAGTTCTCCAGGTAACGTTTACATTTGGAGAAAATAAGTTGCATGTCTAATAGAGAGAGAAAATGTAGTTCTTATTCATTTTGGGTTTGTTTGCTTAAAATTATTCTTTAAAGTATTTGAAAGCTGAGGCTGTCTCTTTTGAAGTCAGTGGGAACTTTGACATTGATTGTAAAAGGATCAGGATTAAGCCTAAATTGGTAGGGTCTAAAAGGCAAAAGTGAAAATGTCCAAAGTCTACAAATCTCTCACTGATCCATCATGCAGAAAGGAAGGACAAAACCCTTCTTCAAGGTCTGTATGTACATCTTGATTCCAGAACTTCTATTTTTCATACATTTGTAGACTTCAAGATGGAAAGCAACTTTCCAAAGGACTGTAATTGCTAGCATATGAAGTAATACACATTTGCATCATGGTCTTGTAAAGCTGCTGGGGGAAGGGAGATGAAAGCTGCTTATAAAAATCAATTGACTATTGGTACCACATCTTCCGCAAATTGTCCTGCACTATCCATTACACAGTATTCCCTGCCTGCAACCCACTCCAGACAGATCCCCAGCTCACAGGTACAGTCTTACACATAGTGAGTGACCCAGCAAAAGTCTGCTTGTAGACATCTAACTCGAAAACACATCTGATCATCCTGCTCAAGTTCAGCACTTTTGGCACTCATCTAGCACTAGCAGCAAGGTAAAAGCAAGGTCTTCAACTCTCTCCTGTACCACCCTGCTGGAACCATCTGTCCCAACACTGAACTCCCCATCACCTGGGCTCAATCTTCACAGAAGAACACCTAAGGGCCCTGGACAAATAGTACTTTTGGCAGAGAAGGAAACCATTTGGCAGAGAAGGAAACCTATGTGGCAGAGAAGGAAACCATTGACTCTTTAATTTTCTGTCCCAGGAACTCTCAGTAACTGTGACCAGAACCAAGTAGTCAAGGACGTGGACTCTTCTCAGCTGGGAGTGTGGCTCATCTACAATGGCAAAATGTAAGCTCAGAGAAGTGATGGGGCATGGGCAAGCAAACATGAAAAATTCTCTTCTTTCCTCTTCAGACACCCAAGTGCATTAAGTATACCAAATGTGGGAGCGCCAGGTCAAGCTCTTCATGGATGACTTCCAGAGGCTAAAGCAAGCAGGGGGAGGAAACTGCCTACTCTGTTGGTTTATCATACAAGCAAGAGTTCAGGGAGGCACACAGATCAGGCACTGTCCCACATCATCTGAACCTGAAGCTGACAAATCATCCATTGCAGCCTGCAAATCTTTGTGACCAAACAGAGAAACATTATCTGTTGTTAACAGAAACCGATGCTTGGCCCAAGAATATCAGAAATGCAGCATCCAAGTGAGTGAATCCATGCACTTAACACCCAAAACAGTCTCTTGCATCTCCATTGCTCAAAAATATTCCAAGATGTTAAAAACTTGATGGGATGTAATCTCCCAGTCTGTGAAGTCCCTTCTCTTCTACCCAAAAATGATGGGCAATAGAATGAGGGGAGTCAAATAGCGCCACCTTGCACTTTAACCAGCCTTGAGACTTCTCAGCAAACCAACTCAAGCAGTGTCTACTCCATCTTCACTGGTGCTGCCTTGTGCTGTGTGCTTCTCCAAGGGAGTGAGGTGCTGCTCACAGGGAGAAACAGCCCTGTCCTGATACTGATGTGGTCAGCCACCACAGAGACACAAATCTGCACATCTGTAGCCTTTGCCCACGTGTAAAAACAGACAGGTCCAGCAACAGCAAGTCAGGTCATCTTTCTGAAGATACTTTTCTTGAGGTATTTTTCAAGCTACCCTAGTTTTCCTACAGTACAGCAAAGACAACAACCAAAAACACATAGACAGAGATTTGTACATGGTGCATTCTGCACATATCCCCAGTGACATGACCTTGCTAATGTGTTGTAGTACCCACTGAAAATGCCTTATATTTCCATGTTTTGGAAGTGGCTGCAGTCTATTCTGCTGGCCCAGATGGCAGAAGACACCCCTAATTTGAATGACCCTCAAATGGAACTTGACTTTGGGAACAAACTTTCAGCACAGGTGTGTGCCACTGAAAACTGGAAGTAATGTTCTCAGTTAAAACATCTTGCAGATCCCATCTTCTGCTTCCACTTCACAGGACATTTCCTCAGGATATTTCAGGATTCAGTCCTAAGGACTTAATACCTTTATGCCAAACACCTCAGCATCACTTTTAGCCTGAAAATAGAAATGCACAAGTATAGGGACTTTGGCACATAGTTGTTTTTTCTAATGGAGTGTAGTAACTGAGCAGAAATAGTTTTTTAAATATTCTTTAATGTTTTAATAGGACTGGCTTACAATGTAAATAAAAGTTAAATTAATCTGAATAACTGAATAACAGTTTTATATGCAAGAAAACCAGAGATCTTTAATAAATAAAGGATGCCATAAGGGCCCTTGGCTTGTTTAGACTGAGTTGGTATGTCTGGACCCAACTGTGGAACAACGATCTGTCACTGTTAGATCAACTTCAAAAGCAATTCAACAAGGGCTCTATGTAGACAGCATTACGAAAAACCTGTTCCAATAGCTTTCTTATGCAAGAGAAAACCACACTCACATTTGTATTTTAGGCAGTGAACCAACAAGAATGAAGCAAAACAACAGCAACTGTCCCCAAGAGATATTTTGGGCTGCTCCTCTCCTCCCACTCCCCTTACACTCCTTTTCAATCTCCTACCAATCTGGGCATTTTTGGCAACAGAGAACCATACTGAAAAGGTCGTTTCCAGGCTGATAGGGACTACTGTGGCTTTTGGCTACCAAAGACAATTTCTCCAGCCTGGGGGAGCATCAACCTCTTTGCTCCCTATTTTGGGCTGGGGTGACTGTGTGAAGAATGGTGAGGAATGGGAGAACTTTCCTCAGCTCAGCAACCTTTGACAATCATTGCTGCTTTTTCTCTTCATCCCAGGATCTGCTATACAACAAGTGCAAATTGAGGATGACAAATAAGAACATTAGCCTGGTGTTTCTGCTCAAATGATCTGCCTTGAAGTAGCTGATGTTGACACTTAAATTGTCAGCAGACTTCTAGTTTAGCACTCCAGAGGAAAGAATGGGTCCTTTCACACTTTCCTCTGGGCTATTGTTTCAACTCTTTATAGACAGGGCAAATATCATTGCAGCAGTTTACACTCCAGTTTCACTGCACTGTTTTTTTTTTCAACCATAACCAAGACTGCATAGAATTTTTTTCTATAATGTAAGATTAAACTGCAGAGAATAATTACACAACACTGTAAAAATAATCTGCAGCAATTTACACAGCCATGAAATACTGGAGCTGTTTTTTCCAGCATACCTATATATACATGGCTGCAGCTAATTCCAATATTTACAAAGGACTCACTGGAGTTGTGATCACAGAAACTGGTATTTCAAGTTAGGCCACACACATGAACAAAATATTTATTGTTATAAGACAAGATTTTGTATTTTGGGGTGGTATACCATCATCTAACTGAAGTGTTACCTTGCCACTTCTGGCTTTTCTCTATCACCTTCTGTCTGATATAACATCAGACATCCTTGTGGCTAAGACATTATGTGTTCAAGTTGGAAAGTATTGGAAAGTATTCTTTCCTGTAATTGTGTGTTTCTTCTATTTTTGACCAAATTAATCATACTGGCAGTCAGCTTTGCTGCTGCTCATTTCTATTCGGGATCATATCTCCTTACCTGCTGGAAGCTCGGCCCCCAGCCTGCTATCTGCATGCTGACTTGTTCTCTCGGGCCCTGCTGGGACTAAGCAATCAGTGCCAGTTCTTCCTAAGAGTAGGAGAAAACCATTGTAGCAGGGAGCAGTATGACTGCCCACTGACCCTTGTCTGCTGCAATAACTGTCAGGACTTTGGGTGTTTTCAAACCCTGCCAAGCAAAGGAATGAACTAACATAAGTCAGTTCCTCCAAGGTACAGTATGAGCTCTCTGGATTGCACACCGTTGTATTGTCCAGAGCCTGAAGAAGTGGTGTCCTAACATTCCTTTCTATGCTTCTCTGGAGGCCTACTTCTGTCTCCTATGTAATTCTGCCAAGCTCCTACCTTGCTAGCTCTACATTCCCTTTAATAAGCTTGTTCAGTCATTGTTTTCCCCAGAAGAAATAAATTATCAAATCAAAACTAAAAGAATGAATGAATAAAGCCACAGACTGGAACAAACACATTGCCCGAAGGTTCTTCAAAGAAACTATTCAGGAAATAGTTAGAAGAGAAAAAGACAGGACATAAGTAAGAATTTATGTAAGGGACTGTCTGCCTCTGGGAACAATAACTTCTAAGTTTTGCAATCTAGCAGTGAGGAATTAATACTTAACCATTAGGTTTAGGCACAGATTTGAAGGAGTTAAATTCCCAGGCTGCCTCTTCAGAGCAGGGTGGGGCATTGGGGAAGTCAGAGACAGAAAAAAAGGGCACCTGAATACCCTGGGAAGGAGCAGGAAAACATTCTGTCAAGCTCCCCTTCCTCTCCTATGCTCCATCTACTCTCCAGCTAAGGGTGTCCTGGTGCACAGCAGCAATTGCAGCCCTGGCTGCACACACCTGCATGCAGAGTGATCCATGTGAGGAGCCTTCCTCACACCAGAATAGCGTGCCACGTCTACGTCCTGTTCACCTCTCTTCACCACCCTTCCCCACCGGTGTGACATTGCATGGCATGGCCAGCGGCTGGGGCCTGAGGGCAGGGACGTGGACATCATCCCAGGCATCCTGGAATGCATCCTCTGGGGGAGCGGGAGCCGGGAGCGGGGCCCTGTCTGGCCCCTGGTACAGCGCACACAAGGTGAGTGCCCAGTGTGCAGCACCAGCAACAAGAGGGCTTGGGGAGAGGGGGGTGCTAAGTTCAGCCTCTCTCCTGTGTCCTCTCAAGAGCCCCATTCCAGCACCTGTTTGCTGCTGGCTCTGCGCCCTCTTCACCCCATTGTTCAGCTTGCACCACCCTGACTCCCTCTCCAAGCCGTCCTTTCTGAGCAGGAACTGGGCAGAGCTGTTCTGTTCTGTGCTCGAGCAGCACTGGTTTTTGTCATCTGTGTTTTCTGTCGCTGTCAGTGCTGACAATGGATTTAGGCAACTGCAAAAGAGAGACTGAAGCGGCCCCTAAGAGCTAGCAATTTGAAGCATCTGCTAACAATAAAAATGAATTGGAGGTTGATTAAACCCTTTACCTTTTCTCTGCTTTTTGTTTCACGAACTAGAAGGCATAGAAGGATACCCAACATTCTTGATTTTCTGTGCATAAGAGGCAAACCACTTTGTCATGTTGAAAAGTATTGGTATAAATTATGCATAAAATGGCTTGCAACTGCTGCTCTCCTTTTTCTAGGAGCAGCCCAGTGGAAGGTGATAGCCTGAAGAAGGTCCCAAAAACTTTCCACTCGGGAATCTGCATTTGCTACTGGGTGGATATCCATTTGGCAGGGAGCATTTTTCAGCCTCATGTCCTCTGAGCAAAGGAAGACTGAGAATTCCTGTGCACGGGTTCCTGGAGCACCAGGACTCCTGGCTGATGGCTGGTGGCAGTGCTTCCCAGGACCAGAGCTGGGTTTCTTACTGGGAGACAAGAATGTGGAGCCAGTGGTTTTACTGTGGGTTTGGGAATTGGGGTCCCAAGGCTGTGAGCTTGCCCAGCTGCCAATAAGATAGGGAATGTTGCCAAGCAATAGGGAATTCCCATGGCATGGGGATACCCACCTCAGTGTCAAAGTGGGGGGTTTTTGTTTCCTTGGAAAACCTCCAGTCCTGCTCCTGTACTCCTTGGGGTTGTTGCATGAGTATTGCTTTTTTTTTAAAATGTGATAGCTTTCTGGGTAGACCTTAATAATATTTTAGAGCTGCTTGGGTATCTGTGGGTGAGACTGATATTCTGTTCTTTTATTTACTTTAATTGTAGCTTTGGAGCAGTAATGGTCATTTGGGTCATGTGTTGATGCCAACCTTAATTTTTCCAATAGTTAAGTTCTTCTGTCCACCTCCATTTTCACATTTTACATTTTTGGAAGCCTCAGAAACAATTCCCTCCTCCCATTTGTGGCTACCCTGGCTGTGATTCAGTGGATCATCCCATGTTCAGGTCTTCACACAGGGCCTCTCTCCCTTCCCCTTTTTTTTGATGTAATGTCATCCTCTTGGTTTGAAAAGGAGCTCTTTGTTTTCTCCCTCTACAAGAGACCATAACTGCACTGGCTCTGATCTGCCTGGGAGCAACCCAAGACAGCTGAGGTGAATTACTTTTGGGGGAGTATTTTCCAGCCCCTTCAACCCCATCAAGAGGTGAAAGAGTAAGATCCCCTTTCAAGAGCTCCTAGACATGAGTGGCTTGGCAGAGCTGCAAATTTCGATTGCCTAGTGCCGCATGGGCATTGGACACATCCACACAGGAGTAGTAGGTCTGATACATTCTTCAGGGAAATCCATAGCACTAGAGCAGGCCTTCAGTGATGTCTGTAAACACTCAGCTCCTTGGTAAAACTTAAGGTGGCTGTGCCTATGTGGCTGTGTCATATAATGCCTCTGTCTTGGAATTACATTTCTCTATCTTTTGATTTAATTGGGATTATTCTCCTGAGAGTCCCCTCCATTTTATCAGGCTGATCATATACTAGCTCTTGGCATAAGGGTGGAACAGGGCACACATGACCATGGGAAAAAACAGTGGAGGTAGGATTTCTCCTTGGCATCAGCATGGATATTGCTTGGTTGATACTGCTTGAGGAGCTGCATCTCTGAAATCAGCAATACCCAGGCCATGTTCCCACAGCCCTCCCTGTATAGGCAAGGTGTGTTATGGGACATGAGTGTGTTTAATGGTGCAGTAAAATCTGATGAAATATGTACTTAGTTACCTGAAGTATTTCCTGCAAACTGATATTGTAATATTTTTGTGTCTGCTGGAATAATGAGTATAGGGAGCTACAACATGTGGGCTTCGTCTGCTTAATAGAAAGTGCATGTAATTGCCTTGGTGTAATACATTTTTATTTCCCTTCATAGATTTTTACTTATTTACAATATTGTTGTTTATGGACAAAAACAATTTGCAGGATTAGTTGAGATTATTAGCTACAGTATTGATCTTGGTTTGACTCTGTATTATCAGAGTAAGAGAAAACATCTGGGTGAGAACAGTCACTGAGAGCTCAGATGAAACAGAATCATAGAATAGTTTGGGTTGGAAGGGACCCTGCAGGCCAGCTAATTCCAGCCCCCCTGCCACCAGCAGGAACAGCTTCCAATAAACCACGTTACTCAGAGCCCCATAACAACTCTTCTGTAACTCAGCATTTCACATGTCTCTTTGTGTGTAGACACTCTGTGTAGTTATTCAAGTGCAGAGCCAGAGATAGAAATTTATTTCACTTCTGCTTCTTTTTCCCTCTTTGCCTGTCACTTCATAGACTCTGAGTTATTACTGGCTGCCCAGACAGCCACCTCAAAAGATTCTCTTATTTTGTGGGTTGTAGGAATAAATAATTTCTGCTCTGTATTTAGGGGTTGACAATGCTGACAATTCCTTCAGATGGGTTTGTGCTGTCTTGCCCCTCACAGTCTATCAGAGCCTGTCAGGTGGTGAGTATGTGCCTGATGCCTTGTGTGGTCTCATCAGTGAGCGACTGTGGCTACTATTAGGTGTGATGAGAAATCCCACAGATTAAGCAGATTCTTGTAGAGGTCATTCTACTCTGCCTTCTATCATATAGATGAAATCTAGATTTTGTGTGGAATGGCACAATTGAGGTTTTTAGTTCATTCTGTTCAGGAGGAACATCTTCAGTGCTTCAGCTCCTCTCTTTACTCGGGGTTGATGTCTAGTTCCACTCAGCCAAGATGAGAGCATCATTTGGTCCCATTTTTTCTAGAGCCTGCTGGTACTTCTGATGCCATGGGGGCTGCTTCACCTGTGTTGTGAGGGACCCCAGGCAGGAAGGCAGGGAGCTGTCTCCATGGAAAGATTTTCTCTCCATTTGCCTTGGCTGAGGAAGCACCCCAGAAACAGTGGGGGTCTCTTCAGCTGGCACCATCACCAGAGAAAAATGTTGTCGTGGTACATCCCTACAAACATTCACCAGGACATTTTAAACACTTAAGCAATGGCATTTTCAACCATGGCTTTCAATTAGGAAAAACTCTAGAGCAAGTCAAGGTGAACCTAGGAAATGTGGGTGGGAGTCAGAGGGCAGCATGGCCACAGCACAGGTGGATTTCAATCAGGACATCTTTTCTCTGCAGGAAAGAAGAGAAAGGCTGTTGAAGACAAACCCTCCTGGGGTTTTTAATGGTATTTTCTCAGTCTCTGTAGGATACCTCAGTTTCCAGTCTCCTCCTGGATGTACTGCAGATGTTACTTTTTCAGGTTAATCAGTAAACCAGTCCCTGAACATGGGTAGAGGCAAATGTCCTCACCCAGCTTTCTGCTGGTATACTCATCTGTGAAGACTGCAGTGAAGTTTTTCCTGTTCAACACCATCCCTTCATCTCTTTATTCTAAAACACTTCACTGAAAGCAAACAAGGGTATCAAAACACTAACTCTATTTCATCCTGTTGTCCTTTACCTATCAGATTTCAGAGTTCATGCAGTTTCAGTTTATCTTATTGGGAAATGTGTTTGGGAGAAAATGCATCCCATTTCTTAGGTATTAGGGAAATGTATATTATTTTCAGTCCTAATAAATCAAAACTTAGGAAGAGGACTTTATTCAGCCTTTCAAATACAACCCTTTTCAACCTCTTATAGGGGAATTAAAAACTTAAATGTTATAATGAAGCACATGATCACAGAATGGGTAAGGTTGGAGTTCATGTATTTCAACCTCCCTGCTGAAACAGGCCCCCCTAAAACACATTACTCAGAATTGTGTCCAAAAGGTTTTTGAATCATTCCAGAGAAGGAGTCTCTATAACCTCTCTGAGCAGCCTGTTTCAGTGCTCTGTCAGCATCACAGTAAAAAAGTTCTTACTGTGTTCAGATGGAATCTCCTGTATTTCAGTTTCTGCCCACTGCTGCTAGAAGCAAGAAGCATTGCACGATTTTCCAGTGTTGTTCTGCTGTCAAAAATCCAGCAACTTTCCATGGTTTAGTGCCCATTTAACTAGTTTCTGCTAGAAAATAATTTGTGGCTTTGGCTCATAAATACAGGACTCTCAATTGGGCTCACTTGCACAAAAGCTCTCAGGCTCTGCCAGAGCTGTAGGTCTGATCTGCTGAGGGTTGTGTTCTGATTAGCTTTAGTGTGACCAAGAAGCTGACACGAGAAGGCAAAATTGAACACTGGTTAGAAAATATTGCCCATATAGTTTTTTAACCTCTTACATCCATTCAGCTGTGCTGGACATCAACTGTCCCTGCAGATGTAAAGATCACATCTCTGATGTGAAATGAGCACACAGCTTATAGACTTCAGCCTCCAGCTTAAAGGGAGACCAGCTGCTTAAGAGAGATCAGCTGCTGCTTGGGAACTTACTCATGACTCAAAGGTAAGGGAAATAACTACAGGAAAGCATTACCCCTTGCCTGTCCATTTGCACAATACTAAAAGCATGTCTGTATCATCCCAGCTCTCAAATTCCATAGGGAAATACAGGGTTTTTTCCATCAACCACTGTAAGCAGAGTGGGAGCAAGCCATGAAGCTGGTTATACCTATGAATATAGAGGAGGCTGGGCATGGGGCAGCAGGTCTGGAACAATGGGAGAATAGCCCAAAGACTGGAGGCAGTATGCAGTTTTATAAGCCTGCTTGAGGCTTATATCTGGGTTCCACCAGGCATTTCTCAGGGTCCCAGAG